GTTCCTCAGGGAATGGGCACAGCCCCGGGGCTGCCAGAGCTCCAGGAGCTCTTGGACACCACTCCAGGGATGCCCAGGGTGGGATTGCTGGGTGTCTGGGCAGGGCCAGGGGCTGGATCAGTGATGCCTGTGGGTGCCCAGGATGCCTGCTCACTGCCCAGCTCTCCCCCAGCCCCGCTCACCCACGCAGTTGTCGCAGACGCTGCAGTGGGAGGTGCGCGGCGGCCGGAACATCTTGCAGGTGTAGCAGTACTTGAGCTTCACCACGTACTTGTTGATCACCACCTCCATGGTGCGGGCCGGGGGACGGTACGTGGAGCTGCCCATGCTGTCTGCAGGGACAAGGAGGGACACTCACAGCCCTGTGCCACCCCTGTGCCACCCCCGGCTGGGGCAGGGGCTGGCACACGCTCTCCTGGCTTTAACAGAACACAAGACAGGATTTGTTGCACGGTGAGCAGCCAAGAGCTCCAGTCAGCTCCAGCGTTATTTACGGCCTGTCTTTGCTCTCAGTGGTGACGCTGCTGGGATGCCAAGAGGCAGCAGTAAATGCCCAGTGCTGTGGAACATCAAGGAATTTACAAATTTACAAACACCAGCTCATCTCTGTGTGTCCAGCAGGTCACAACAGGCAGCCTGGCTGTGAAAGCAGGGGTGGCTCTGCCACAGGAGCATCCCTGCCACTGCCAGCACACAGCCTGTCACCCCACAGCTGCAGCACTGCCAGCCTGCAGGGACTCGCCTCTGTCACTGTGGGGAAGGACAGCAGCAGGCCTCAAGCGCTCCAGTAGATTCCCTGGAATTTGACATCTTTGTGTCCGTAGCACAAGAGGATTCCTCCCCCTCCAGGTTTGAATTGAGGATTTTTAGGGGCACTGCAAATTACATCTCTGTGTGCTGGCACTCCATTATTCATTCTCTGGGGGCTGGAGACTGTTCCTGTACACAGCAATAGCTGGAAACCCCCGGAATCATGTTTGCAGTTTCGGGGGTTATTCCTTTTAGTTTCTCCTAAAAAAGTACTTTTCCAACTGTGAGGAATTCTTTGAAAATACTAATGCATCAGTGAGCATGTTAAGAGGATGATAAGTGGATTATATTAGCAGTAACAGCTGGCACATCAGGCAGCATCTGCAGCCAGATTACTGCTTTAGGCCCTTATAAATAGAAACATGGATAACTACTCTGGGGATATTTAAAAACCATTTTTAAAGTCAGATGTAGAATTACTGCCTCGCATCTGTCTTCAACGGGACAGATTCAAGCTGTCTCACATCAGCTTTGCTAAAGCATTTGCCCCAACCTGTCACATCAACGAGGACCTCAGCTCCTGGATGCAAACACCTCCTTGGCTGTCCCCAAACCAGTGTGACAGAGCAGTTTTTAGAAGAGGACAAACATCAGCCTACTCTAAAGAACACCTTGCAGCACAGAGGCTCAATGGCAATATCAAAAAGCATTAATTATCTTTCAACTCTGCTGCCTGGGAAAGCACTGGGACTGAACAGGAGCAAAAAGCACCCGAGCTGCTCTGCAGATCTCTGAGGCACTGCCTGCTGTGCCAGAGGAGCTCGTTGCACCTCTCATCACCACTGGTAAGCACTGTCAAGCCTCACAATCTGATACTCTGGATTTTTCTCCCCCTGTGGACAAACCTTAAGGAGACAAGACCCAAGGCAGGGGCCTCACTGAGCCCGGAAGGTGCAGAGACACACACAGGAGAGGGATCAGAGCTCTCACCAATTCGCTTCTCCAGGTCTGCAGCCTCGCTGGGGGTGGCTCTGGGCAGGATTCCGGGGTCTCTGAAGCTTGTCTGGAGCAGGCAGCTGATGACGAAGAAGAAGAGGATGGCAGCAATGATGGGGATGGCCAGGGTCAGGTGGCTGGCAAGGAAGGGGCAGCTGTGAAAAGATAAATAAAAGGAATTGTTATCAATCAGTGCACAGACCCGCTGTCAGCTGGGACATCACACCACGACCTGTCACAGGGTAGTGGGCTCAGCAGCCGACCTGGGGCTGTTTTGGCAGAGATGGGGACTGGTGGGATCACACCCCACACCAGGGCAGCTCCGTTACCCGCAGGCAGCAGCTGAGGACAGCAGAGGACACAGCCCTGCACACACAGAGCCACTGTCCCCTCCTGCAGAGGACTGATCAGCACCCAGAGCCAGCATAGCATGGGCTGCCCCAGTCCTGAGGGCTGCAGGCAGTCTCAGGCTCTGCAGTGCTCTGAGAGGATTAAGGAACTTTTGTTTCACCTCCCCAGCTCAGCTGTCCAGAACAAAGCACCCACCAAGCAACAAAACCCCTTCAGTCCAAGCCTGAGCCCCTCAGTCAGCGACAGAAAGGTCTGTGAAAGCAGAGACTGTGAGCTTGTCGTCAGCCCTTTCCTGAGAGAACCTCCAGAGCCCACTCTGCCCCACCAGGGAACAAGAAATCAGAGAAATCACAGAATCCCCAAATGGTTTGGTTTGGACCTTAAAGATCATCCCACCCCATCCCATCCCACCCCTGCCATGGGCAGGGACACCCTCCACTCTCCCACACTGCTCCAAGCCCCAACGTCCAGCCTGGCCTTGGACATTTCCAGGGATGGGGCAGACACAGCTGCTCTGGGAACCCTGTGCCAGGTTACCCCACAGAAACCATGAAATACAGACACAGACAAGATGTCTTTGCTGTACACCCAGCAAACTGGAGCCTGTGCAACAGAAGCATCCTGCTAAAATAACAACCTGGGAGAGCCCCAGGGCATCTTCAAGCACCAGAGAGTGACTCGGCAGAAGGGAGGCAGAGCAGATGTCCTGTGTGCTCTGCCTGGCCACACAAAGCCGCTACTGTGCTGAGCTGCCCGTCAGCCCCCGACCTGGCAGAGAGCTGTCAGGGCACGGATGATGCTGAGAAAGGGGTTTTTCCATCGGGATGCTGTGCCTGCTGCCCGCAGCTGCCTGTCCCTTTCAGCTCATCTGACTTCTCAGAACCTCTAATCCGATCAAGTACTTTCATCTCCCCACCAGCAGGCTCGGGCAGCTTCACTCCGAGACTTGCAAGGATAACGCCGCGATCCAAAGGCAGGCGTGGCCCCCGCTCCAGGGAAAAGCGGCTCCCGTCCCTCCCGGGACAGAGACGGAGGCAGCTCACCAGAACCCTGCAAGGTGTCAGGAACGCAGGGTGCTCCTTCTGCAGCGCCCCGGGGCAGCACAGGACACACCGGGAGGCTCCTGGCTCTCCCCTCCCTCCGGCTGCAGGAGCAGGGAGCTTCCCTGGACCAGCTTTCCAAGGAAAGGGGACTGGGCAGATGCAGCTCCCTCTTCCCCAGACTCTGCTGCACAAAGGGGGCCGAGCTCCAGTGCAGACTCTCGAGGGGGGACCCCGAATGGTTTCAACCTTTAGAAGAAACACTGTTCCTAGATCCCAGCGATGGACAAAGCCCACGAGCCTTGGGGGTTTCCCGGGTGCAATTCTGGGCCAATTCGCTTATTGGGAGCAAAAGGAGAGGCTTGGGGGCTGTATTTAGAGGCCGGGGGGGCATCCTAGGGGGACGTTCAACCCCTTCCTGGGGCCAGACTGAGCAAACAAGGCGCAGAACGACCCACAAACCGATCTGGGCACAGGAGATGGGGCAGTGACCGCCTGCAAAGGGGGTCTGGGGGCTGCACCGTGGGAAAGGGCTCGGGGGGCAGCGGGGAGGAGGCACAGCGGGGATCCCACGGGGAAGGCGGCCCCAGCCCAGCTCCCTCCCAGCAGGGGCCAGCGTGGGATGCCGGCTCAGCCCGGCTGCCCACAGCCCGGCCGTGGCGGGGGAGGCCCGAGGCACGGGCCCGCACGGCTCGGGGGTCCCGGTGCGCGGCGCTGCGGCCCCGGGCCCGCCGGGCCAGACTCACTCGAAGGCGAAGAAGAGGCCGCTGGTGGCCAGGATGAGGCCGAGCGTGAGGGCGAAGACGCCGCTGTGCCGCGCCAGCATGAGGCGGCCGCCGCAGTAGAAGCGGTTGCGGCCCGGGAACACCTCCCACTTCCTGCGGGGCCGCACCGCTCCGGTCCGCGCCGCTCCGGGCCCCGGCGCCGCCGGCCCGCCCGCGCCCGCCGCCCCGGGCGGGATCTGCCGGTACTCGCAGTCCTTCATGGCCCCGCCGCGGCGCCCGGAGCCCGGCCCGGCCCCGATCCCGGCCCCGCCGGTCCCGCCCCGAGCCCCGAGCCCGGCCCGGCCCCGCCGGTCCCGCCCCGAGCCCGGCCCGGCCCCGATCCCCGAGCCCGGCCCCGCCCCGCCCCGCAGCGCCCCCTGCCGGCCCCGCCGCCACACCGGAGCGGAGCCCAGCCGCGATCCCGATCCCGACCCCCGATCCCGACCCCAATCCCGATCCAGACCCGGATCCCTATCCCGATCCCGATCCCGGCCCCTATCCCGATACCAACCCCCGATCCCGATCCCGATCCCAATCCCAATCCAGACCCGGATCCCCATCCCGATCCCGACCCCCGATCCCGATCCCGATCCAGACCCGGATCCCGATCCCGATCCCGATCCCGATCCAGACCCAGATCCCCATCCCGATCCCGACCCCGATCCAGACCCGGATCCCCATCCTGATCCCGATCCCCGATCCCGATCCCGATCCAGACCCGGATCCCCATTCCGATCCCGATCCCGATCCCAATCCCGATCCAGACCCGGATCCCCGATCCCAACCCCGACCCCGATTCCGGCCCCTATCTCGACCCTGATCCCGGCCCCTATCTCGACCCCAATCCTGGCCCCTATCCCGATACCAACCCTCGACCCCCGACCCCCAATCCCGATCCCAACCCCCAATCCCGGCCCCGATCCCGACCTCCGATCCCGATCCTAGCCCGTATCTCGACCCCGATCCCGGCCCGTATCTCGACCCCGATCCCGGCCCCTATCCCGATACCAACCCCCGACCCCCTATCCCGACCCCGACCCCCGAACCGTGACCCCCACTCCGGCCCCTTCCCAATCCCGGCCCCGGGCCGAGCCGCCTCTCCGGTAACCTTCCCGTGTTTATTGGGGTCGTGCATGTGCCCACGCAGCGCCCGCCACCCGCGCCTGCCCCTGCCCAGCCTGGCTCCATGGGCAAGGAAGCGGAACAGTCTGAGCAGCACACGGCAGCTGGACCCTCCTGCCGTGCCCACAGCACATCCCAGGCAATCCCCAAACCCATCACAGCATCCTCCACAAATCCGTGCCTGCTGTCATCTCCCCCAGGAGCGGCAGGAACCGAGGTGCATTCCCCATCCCAGGCAGGGGATGGGAATTTTGGCTGTCAGAATGCCAGCTGAGTGGGGCAGCATGCTGCAGCATCACACCACAGAGAACATCCCGCCTGGGACGTGGCAACGGAGGAGTAACACCTTTGTAACTGCAACAACAGCGTCACCACCGCCACCTCAGGCTTTCAGAGCAGGTGAGTTTCAGTTCTGAGCCGAGCTCCTGTCCCACCAGCACAGCCCACTACGTCCATGGGAGGAAGTTGCAGTGCAGGATCAGCCCCAGCAGCCAGTAGCCCAGGAAGAAGCCCAGGATGCTCTTGCTGAGGGGGGTAATCGATCGCCAGTTCAGCAGCAGCCTCACAACGGGGTTGTCCGGGGTCCCTTTCCCACAGGAACTGGGAGATTTACCTAGAAGAGCCTTCCCAGAGGCTGGCTTATCAGCCCCTGTGCTCCAGAGTAAAGGTTCGTGTTCCTGGAGCAGGTGAGCTGCGAACCAGTACAGGATGGGAGAGGAGGAGCCAAGGAACCGGGTCAGCACCTGGAGACAACAGGCAGAGGAGAAATCACCCCGGCTGCTGTGCTGTCACTGCCCCAGCCCCACAAGGAATCCCCCGTCCTACCTGCACGTGCATGCAGCAGAACCCAAAAGCCAGCAGGGCCGTGCTGTGGACCACGTACACGAAGGCAGCAGGGCCACAAAATCCATCTCTTGCCTTTCCTCTCTCTTCACTCTTACTCCTCTCTAGACCAAGAGTCAGGCAGTGCCGGGGGTTTGTGCTGACGTAGGTCCAGGCAGCCCATGAGCTCAGAAGGGTGACAGGCAGAGCAAGCAAGAAATTTGGGATCTGTCTGAGCTCAAAGTACCTTAAAAAGCCCACGTTCCAGTAAGTGTCCTGGATATAGGAATAGACCAGGGGGAAGCGCTGGGAGCACCAAGGGGGTTTAGCCCCAGCCACGCCTGCCACACGATAGCCCTTGTCCCGTGCCAGCTGCAGCAGCGGCTCGGGAACGGCCTGGCCCAGCCCCGCGCCAGGCTCGCAGAACCTCACGTAGGCGTAGTACTGAAACACCACAAAAGGCAGGAAAATCAGGGCACACAGCAGGGCTGCCGAAGATGCCAGGCCGAGGGCCCGCTTCCACAGCACGGGGAACGCCGCTCCCCGCTGCAGCTGCAGCGCCAAGCGCTTGCTGCACCAGTAGAGTACGAAGCCGGCGTTGACCAGCCCGTTGGCCCGGGCCGCAGCGGCCAGGGCGAAGAGCAGCCCGCTGCGCCAGCCGTGCCCCTTCTCCAGCTGCCACATGGCGCTGAAGGCCAGCACGGCGAAGGCGCTCTCCGAGTAGGCAGCGGCCATGAAGACGCCGGCAGGGCTGAGGGAGAAGAGCAGCGCGGCCAGGAAGGCCTGGCGCGGCCGCCGCAGCACGGCCCGGCCTAGGCGCAGCAGGGCCGCGGCCGCCAGCGCCGACAGCAGCGCGTTCAGCAGCGCGGCCGCCAGCAGCAACCGGCTGCGCGGCTGCAGCTGCAGCGGGCACGGCAGCAGCCCGGCCAGCAGCCGCAGCCCCAGTGGGAAGAGCGGCAGGAAGGCGCAGTTGTGCTCCAGCAGGTAGCCACGCTCGGCGATGAACAGGAAATGCTCGGCGTCCCAGCGGCCCAGCCCGCCCAGCAGCCGCTCCACCAGCGCGTCCCACGGGCCCGGCGGGCCCAGCCGCGGCGGAGAGAAGGCGTCGGCAGCGTGGTCCGGGACCAGCAGGTTAAACACGGCCTGCAAAACAAGAGAGGGGTGCGGGTTGGAGGAGAGCACCGGGCAGGAGAGCTCCTGCTGGCACCGAGGCCGGACCCCACGATGCTCACGAGGTTGTGAAAAGGGGCAGACGCAACCTTTTGGGGTATTGACATCTGAACAGAGAAACGCTCTGGGATCCCACATGAATCCCTGCAAAGCGGGGAAAGCTGCTCATGGCTATGACTGCGCTCTGTGCTGGCTGGCACAGCCAAGCTCTCCCATGCCCAGAGCAGGATGTCTCTGGAAACAAGACTTGGGAGGAATGTACAGGAGGAGATTATTGTTCCTTTTCTGTGGATAAACACACTTGGAGCCAAACCAGCCTCTTGCAGCAGCAGCATGAAAACACAGCAAGTTACAAGGAAATTAATGTGATTTTACTTAACAGCAACCTGTAAGTAAAACCCCTGGCTGCAGACGCTCTGTTGGCTCTCCAGAGAAGTTGATTTCCACATTGTGCAGAACCAGCTCATGGATCCCAGGGGTACTGAAGGGAGCAAACCCCAGCAGAGCCTCCCTGGCTGGAGGACAGACTTGCCTGCAGCAGCAGCGCCAGGGCCCGGCAGCGCAGGGCGAACCACACGACCTCTCGGAGCTGGGGGTCTGCCCTGCTCCACCGCTCCATCCCACACCCCCTCAGGTCACCGGTGCCAGGGGAATTCTCCTTCCAGTGTGGGAATCCTGGGGTGGCAAACACAGAGGACAAAGAAAGGGATTTCTGGCTTCAGCCTCATTTGTGAATTTTGTGCCTTTATTTACTGTCAGGCGCTTGAAAGGTGCAAGTCTCTGTGAACAAGAAAGTCACTTATGGAAGAGATCACAGGTCTGGGAGATGACGCAGAGACCTCTTTGATATTGTTCCTACTAAAAAAAAAAATCCCTGTCTTGTTAACCTTGGCCAAGACACTGAGGGAGAGCCCACTCCTCCCCGGGCTGGAGCGAATCCCTGGAGCAGACAGGCTGCTCCCGCCTCAGCAGGAACTCCAGCAGCTGGAGCCAAGCATCCTCACACACATCCAACGCTGTGAATGGGATTTAAGCCTCTTTTCCTTGGAATGGAGACAGAATTCCTGTGGACTCTGAGCGTAACCCCCGTGTAAGCAGGAGGGCTGCCAGGAGCTCCCTCCTCTCTCCTGCTCCGTGTTTGCCCCTGGGAAGCCAGGAATGGATTTACTCAGCTGGCTGCATGGCACAGCTCTGCCAGAGCAGGGTGGAACTCCGGCACACAGCTTCCCCCAGCACAGGCAGGACACAAACCCTGTGCCACTCCACCCTCACCACCTGCAATTTTCCAGTGTTTTGGCAAAGCTCCTGGCACCTGCCTGCCGGGCACACTGCACGTTCTGAATCCACCCGTCCTCCTCCTCCCTGCAAACCTCGCCTGAGGGATTTCAACCTCTTTGTGGAGCCTCCCAGTTCAGTGTCTACATGTCCTGGGTGCCGTGGTGGCCCAGCTCTGACCCCCTGGCCCCGAGCCACGGGAGGAGGGCAGGATCTGCTGTGCAGCTCTTTAAGATAAAACATTTCTTCCGTTGGCTCCCCAGCCCCCAACTGCTTTTCAGCTGGAGAAACACACAGCCCGCAGCTCTCGCCAGGTCCCAGTGACACCCCATCCTGCCCTCCTGTCTGCTCCAGCACTCTGTAACACACAGAGATCCCCAAATCCATCGCTCCACAACCTAAAATCACTGACATTTTCCTACTGCATTGTGGAGAAAAAACCCAGCCAGGCCGAAACTGCACGAGAGGACAGAGAGCAAATCATCAGCAAGGCAAGACCCAAGACCCAGACTGGCTCACTGACAGCTCCAACCCTCAACCACAGGGTTATTATGATTCCTATTTAACCACAAATAAAAGTTTTGGGTTGCTCCTATTCCCCTTGTGCTCCCCAGCACTCGCAAAGCCACTGGTGGGAGGCACCTTCTCCTGCACCACGAAGCTGTGACGTTATTTGAAGCGAGGGGACACTTCAACCCAGCTGTAAACTCTTTTAAAGTACATTCACAGCTGCAAATCCTATAAAAGCACAGCGGCAAAAATTGTCCTGGCACTTTAAATATAGTTTTTACAAAAAGCAGAGAAAAAGCCTCGCCTGAATGTGCCAAGAGAGCTCAAAGCAAACAGCTTTAAAAAGCCTGTTCCTGTCACGACGCAGCACACCTTGTGACAGAGCAAAGCCTTCAAAAGAGCTGCAGCCCACGAGCCCCGTTTGGATCCAGAACACAGCGTCGGGAATGGCTCTGCCCCAAAAATCCTATGGGAAAGGACACCTGCACCACCACAAAAAGGAGAGGCAGAAGGGCGTTAAAAATACTCCAGCAGAAAAAGATGCAAAGTCTGAATTAAAGATGTGTTTCTCTCTGGGATCTGCGCTTCCCTCGGCCCTCAGCTGTGAAGCTCAGCTCGGAGGCGGCGCAGAGGGAGGGATGCGGACAGGGACGGAGCAGAGGCGCTGAACGAGGACGGGAGCGGCGGGGCCGGGCGGCCGCAGTGCGGGGCGGGGACCAGCCGGTGGCAGCAGCCGCTCGCCACGGCGGGCACCGGGCACCGGGCACCGGGCGGGTACGGGGCGCTGCTCCAGCCTGCTGTGAGACTCAACAGAATCTCCAAACACGTTTTAAATCTCCTTCTAACCATGAGGCCAAAGGAAGGCAGCAGGATTTAGGGCATTCTGTTTGCCTGCAGCTCTCGGCATCCCGGGGTCCGGCCCAGCTGCTGCTCCGGAGGTTCCAGCAGTGCTTCCCTTTCTCTGGATGCAGTCGGGAGTGGTTTTGTCTCTGGCAACTAAAGCTGCTCTGGGTCAGAACCCGCTTGGGCTCGGCTGCAGCTCCGGCACGGGACAGAGCCCGCTGTGCCCAGCCCGTCCCGGAGCGCAGCCCGGCCGCCCCGGGGCCGGTCCCGCCGCCGCTCCCCGGTAGCCGGACCGGCACACGCGGGCAGGAAGGGCCGCAGAGCTCCGCTGTCCGCCCGCAGGCGGGACCGGCCGTGCGGGGCAGGGCTGCTCCGGGATCCGGACAGCTCCCGTGCCGAGCAGCGGCCACCGGACCACCGGAGGGTGCGCGGACCCACCGGCCCCGGGCACACGGGGCTGTCCCGGGCTGCCTCCAGCCCCTCCGGTACCGCTCCTGCCGCCAGCGAGGCCGCACGGCGCTGCCCGGGACACGAACCGCGCCCGACCCCGCGCCTGACCCGGGCCCCTCCGGGCCTCACCGTGAGGCTCCTGCCGGTGCCGGGGCCGGGCCGAGGGCGGCGGGGACACCCCGGCTCCGGTCCCGGCTCAGATCCCTGTGCCGATCCCGGCTCAGATCCCGGTCCCGGTGCCGATCCCGGCTCTCAGATCCCGGTCCCGGTGCCGATCCCGGCTCAGATCCCGGTCCCGGTGCCGATCCCGGTCCCGGCTCAGACCCCGGTGCCGATCCCGGCTCTCAGATCCCGGTCCCGGTCCCGGTCCCGGCTCAGACCCCGGTGCCGATCCCGGCTCTCAGATCCCGATCCCGGTGCCGGTCCCGGTCCCGCAGCGCCCCCTCGCGGCGGGCGGAGGGAGGAGCCGCCCCGGCCCCTTTTCCCCCCTCAGCGCGCGCGCGGCTCCCCGGCACCGCCCCGCTACGCCACTTCCGGCCGCGCCCTTTCCGGCGTCACGCGGCGGGCGCGCGCGTGTGGGGAAGGGGCGGGCGGCGCCATCTTTGTTAAGGGCGGGCGGGGGAACCGGGACCGGGACAGGGACCGGGCTGTGCCCCGCCAGCAGCAGCAGCAGCAGCACAAGGACCTGAGGCGGCAGGGCGGGCCCGTGGGAGCTGCGCCCTGCGGGGTGTCGGGAGCCCGCGGGCATCCCTCGTGCCCGGGCGGAACGCCGCCCCTCACGCCCTGCACCGAACCCTCCCGTTCCCGAGGAGTCCCTCAAACGCCTCCCTCTGACCGGCCTCTGCCAGCAAAGAGCAAAACTCGAGCTCTCCCCAGGCCGGAGCCCTCAGAAAACCCTTGAGGAGACTCTCTGAGCGCTCTCGGGCATCAGCCTTGGGAGAACTCCCGTTTTCTTTGCTGTCAAAGAAGTGGGGAACAGCAGAGGTGTCCAGAGGCGTTACGAGGTATTCCTTGGATGGAAGGATTTGGGCACAAATCCGGCCCAAAGCATCAAGGATTTGCGCTGCCTCTGTCGGGGCAGGTGTGGCTCCCCTGTGCCACGCTGCGAACACTTTTTGTTGTTGTTTTACTCATTTCTCACCTCTGCTCTTGGTTTTCACTGTTTGAAGTGCACGGGGCTGTGTCTGCACACAGTGCTGCGGGAGCAGGATTCGGGTCAGCGGGGTGTGTGATTCTGGTTAAATTCAGGAGCACTCCTGCCTGCCACATTCTGGTTAAATTCAGGAGCGCTCCTGCCTGTCCCTCGTGGCTGTGGATTCACCCCACACACACAGAGCTGCTGCCCTTACCTGCTTCCACAGCACCACGGCTCCTTTCTGCGCAGGAAAAGCAGCACAACTTCCACGTGGGTTAAACACAACTCCGGGAGCGCAGGGTGAGCTGTCAGGGTGTGCACTGGCAGGGCAGAGAACAGCAGAATCCAGCAGAATCCTAAAGCCAGGGAAGCCCAGCACCATTCCTGCCTTTTGAGCAATCCATTTGAAGGACTCTCCTGCCAGGAAGGGCTCCCACAATTCCTGCTGACAGACAAGACTTTCCAGGAAAAAGACTCTTTGATTTTGGCACAGTCACTCCGAGGAATCTGAAGTTGGAGGAACGGAGGCTCTAGGAACTGAGAGCTCCCGAGGACAGGACTAGGAAGATAAAACAAGGGGAATTTTTAAACAAAAATGATGTTTGCCTTCAAAAAAAGCTGTTTTTTCTTTTATGAGCTCGGAACAGTTCTAGCTACCCTACTTGCAGTATCCACTGAGGACAAAGCCTCAGGCTAAATGAAATTTAGCTTCCAAAGCCCTGAAACAGATCCGTGTCCAGAGAGCCTGAACTTGGCCCGTTTGCTGCAGGGCCTGGGAGCTCTGTCTGCTGGAAAGCCCCGGCTCGGGAGGAAGTCAAGAGTACGTGCCACACTCCCAAGAAAATGTGAAAAATGCGAGGGGAAGGAAAACTTTCCATTTTACAGAGCTGGGAGGGAACTGCCTCCTTTCCCAGCAAGGCCCTTCCCTCCCTGGCAGCCACAGCTTCACCTCACGCTGCAAATCCCGAGCCTGGGCAGCTCCTCAGGAAAAATTCCAGCAGGGAAAGCAAAGTCAGAGCAATCAGCAACAGAGCTCCTGAGCAGGGCAGGCCTTGGGCAGCGCCGAGCTGCCCTCCCTGTCCTGCCAATAAAAAAAACCCTTACAAACATCTTACCAAGATTTAATGTACATTTATTCTTAACACGTGGAACATATAGTATAAAGATTTCATACTGAATAAATGATATTCATTAAGCCAAAAAAGGAAAAAAGGGAGGAATTTACATCAAGTTTTTAGCTACATCGTCTGAAATACAAATATGCAGAATTCATCACTGAAAAATCTCAATTGTGTTTCTTCATCAGGAACTTCAACTGAACCTAGAACTTTTTCACACCTCGATTAGAAAGAAAACAAAAACAGGAAAAAAATAAACTATAAGTTGATTGGCTGCTGAGACAGCAATGACTTTATACACAGAGACCTGTACAGCATCCTCCAGGGAGGGATGTCTGGCAAGAGATTAAATAATTGTGTCTCGCTTTTGCAGGTCATCAACTCGTTAACTCGTCATACTATAAAGGGGTGGGAGGGGACAAAACTGCAGGAGTCTCAGGGTATGTGCAATGTACAACGTCATATATATATACACACGTGGCAGCGCTGGGCTGCAGCTAAAGGTTAAAACCAGTTCTAAGAGGTGATCTCAGGGTTATTCATACAATCAAGGAGGAAGAGAGAAAGAGGTCAGGGTGTTGTAGGTTCACACATTATACTTTGGGGGAAAAGCCTTTTTTTCTCCTCAACATTAACTAAAAACATTTTTAAAAACTACAGCTTGCTGCTGATCCAGCGTTTTTTTCTTTTTTTTTTTATCCATGTGAGACATTATTACAGTATGTTTACAGTTTAAGGTGTACAGTACATGGAGTTCTACACGCTACTGCACAGGCCTCCCTTGGACAAGGTCTGTTCACAACTGGTAACTTCTTGGTTCCTGCAAGATTGTGAATGTACAACGATAAACCACACAGAATTCAGCAGTCACTTTTTGTCCTTCAGAGTTTACCATTAAAAACAGTTATGAAATTGGTGCCTGTCAATGGGATAACATGGCAAGTCGTCTTTCCCCAAACTCACTGTAAACGACAGTAACTTTGGTTAAAATAAAAAAAGTCTTCTATGTAGACAGAACTTTGTCTCCTTTAATAAGGGATTCGGGACAAATCTGAGGGGCAGGGAAGGGGGAGAGGGGCCGGGGAGATCTTTCCCCGGGGGAGAAGCAGGACAGCGCAGGGCAGACAGTGGATTCTGAGGTGGTTTTGCATAAATAAAGGGCAACAGTCAGTTTCTAAGTTCTCCACTCACGCACACGCACACGGGGGCTCGGATCCCACAGCTGTCATGACTGGCCAATTAAAAACAGTACATCACAAATAACTTGTGAAACCAAAGAGTTCATCAAAGGCGACACGGAGATGTCCAAGAGCCGCGACTCGTACAAGGTGAACTCCGAGTGGTTCTCGTCCACCTTGGCCAGGGCCAGCAGCGCGCGGGCGGCGCGGCGCATCATGTCCACGCTGGTGGCCTCGAAGGGCGGGCTCTGCATGTGCATCAGCCCCGCCTGGCTCTGCTGGAACTGCGTGGCGGCCAGGCTGTCCTCCAGGAAGCCCAGCAGGTTGCCAATGCTGCCCTTCTGCACAGCGATGGCTCTGGCGGCCAGGCTGTCCCCCTGCGCCAGGTTGGCCAGCAGCACCACGGCCATCTCCCGGCACACCGGGTTCTTTCTGTCACTGAGGAACCGCACCATGGTGCTGTACAGCTTCTCCAAGCGGCTGAACGGCGGCGTGGCGAGGATCAAATCCACGTTGTTGTCCTGGATGCTGAGTTTGCTGAGTGTTTCCAAAACCAGTCTCTGAGGGGAGAGGACAGCGCTGGGTCCCAGTGTCGGAAAGGGATCCTGGGCCTCTGCTGAGGGACACACTGCCCAGTGGAGGAGTCCATCCAGGATAGGCAAACAGATGCTTTCCGGGTAAGGGGAGAGGTCCAGCTGCCCAGAAATGTTGGCCAACGTGACCAGTGTGTTTTCACGCAGCATCTCCAAACAGTCCCACCACCACTCCACCTTGTTGCAGCTCACCCCTTGGTCCTGCTCCTCCTCTTTCTCATAGGTCAGGGGGGCCTGTTTGCGTTCTGGATGCTTGTGGTGTAGGAGGATCAGTTTCCCTAGAATCAGCAGCAGCCCAGGGTGTTTGGACATTTCAAAGTCATTGCCTGGCACAAACGATAAACTCCTGATGATGTTGGAGACGCAGATGCAGCGCTTGGCCAGAGAGTCCTGCCAGTCCAGGAGGGTGCAGAGCGGCGTCTCGTCCTTACTGTGGGGTTCATCCTCCAGGATTTTTATATTTCTGTGGCTCTGAGCTGGACTGATGACAAAGGGAAACTTGCTGCTCTCCTTCGCCGTTTCCGAAGCTTTGACCTCTTCCTCCTCCCCCGGCAGGGAGCCCGGGCGTGCTGAGAGCATGTCGTCCATGGTGGCAGTTATCCTCTTCTCCGAGGAGCCGTCGGGCGCAGGAGCCTCCCCTTCCCTGGGGCTCGGGTTGCTCTCGGCTGCGGAACGTTTCCTCAAGGCAGAGGAGCAGGAAGCTCGTTTGTGTAGCAAGGGCAGCTCGGTCTTGCTCTCGAAGTGTGTCTGGATGTGCTCGGTGGTGTCCCCGCCGCCGATGCGCCAGTGCAGGAGCCCGCTGTCGAACTCCTGCACCCGGCCCAGCTTGTCCGAGTAATCCACCACGAAGGGGTCGTTCTTCTGCACCACCTTCACTGGAAGCTTGTCAAATTTACTCACTAGCTTCTCCTCGCTGCTCTCTAGAGGTACTTTGTCCTTGCTCGAAAATGCAGCCTCCTCCTCTTCCTCATCCTCCTCTTCCTCCTCACAGTTCAGGCTCCGTGGCTCATCGTCCTCCTCCCCTTCTTCAGGGGAGGAGGCTGAAGATTTGCAGAACCTTTCAGGATCTAATAGTGTTCTTTGCCCTGGGTCTCCTACCTCGTATTCCTTCAGGATTCCAAAGATCTCGATCAGGCAGCGCCGGAAATATTCCACCAAGAGTTCCAGCAAGCCTGGCAGCTACAAGGGGGAGAAAAAGGAGGGGAGGAAGGAACAGCAATCAGAAAACAACTCGGGACAGAGAGTTTAAGCAGTGCTAGCAATTAATGGTGCTCCTCATTCTGGCAATAAATGGTGCAGAAGAGAGGTTTTGTCCTCTGAGAAAAGGGACAAAAGCAGGCACTGGCTGTCAGTATCCAAACTGCCCCCTGCACGCCCCCTGTACTCTTGGTTGTACCTCCCCCCGGTTAACTCCCAGGGAAGGCCTGTGCACACCCACGGGTC